TTGTATTTGCATTCCCAGGACCTAGCCCCCTTTCTGGCACATAGTAGCCTCTTAATAAATATCTAATGGAGGAGGGGTAGCTAGGTGGTACAGTGGAAAGTGCACTTGCCCTGGGGTCGGGAGGATCTGGTTCAAATGTGGCCTCAGACACTTACTAGCTATGTGATACTGGGTAAGTCACCCAACCCTGATTGCCCCCCCCCAAATAAATAAATGTTGAATTAAACGTTCATGTTCTGATTTGAACACAATTTTATAGAAATCATATAATTACTCCAGAAATTTTTTCAAATAATGTTTTGTTTTGTTTTTTAATTTTCTCAGCATGTGGAGGTCACTATATGAAGTTGAAGTTGCTGGCTTAGAACCAGAGACACAATATTGCCAGAAGCCTGGTTATGAAATGATGGGGGGATTTTGGGGCTGCTTCTGGAAGGCAGTTTAAAAAGGATTGCATGGGTTACAATCTCTCTCAGTGGAGGGAGCAGTGTATGGTAGGGGAAAGAACTGAATCCCTTAACAGTAACTTTAGAACTTGAAAGGATCAGAGAGATGAACCCTTATTTTACAAAGGAGGAAACTAAGGGCCCTCCCAGTTTGGAATCTGGTGAACAGGAGTGCCCATCCATATCTCTTTCTGAAGTATCCAAAGCCCAGTTAAGATCTAGCAACAATTCCTTACAAAAACTGTATTAGAGCCAGCTATGAATTTCATACTTGAAGTGACCCTGTTGCTTCCATGAAGCCAAAATAAATACACCCACCAGGAATGTGAGAACCCAAGAGCTGGGGCGCTAAAACAATAACAAGCAGGAATTTGCTGACGGCGTTGCAATCCTAATAAGACCATTCTTTATCCTCACTTTGTATGTCAGTCCGAAGTGTAATCATTTCCTTTTTAGGCTGAATAAGAGAAACACTGTTTTTCAGGGGTCACAATTTCTTTATGCTGACTATCCACTGAAGTGTAACCACAGGCCCAGCTGTTGACTCCAAGGCCAGCTGCCAACATCTGTGACGTGGCCCTTGTGTCCTTGTCATTGGACAAAACTACAAATAATTTGGTTTTACTGAATTCAACAAGCATTTCTTTATTATGGGTCTGTGATGTGCCCAGCAAAGTGCTGAGCACTGGGTTTACAAAGACAAAGACTAAACCAGCCTCTGCCCTCAAAGAGCTTACCTTATTCTAGTTTCATTGGGCAGTTTATAATTTGAGTTCCTTGGGATGGTTTGAGACACTTGTGAGTGTATGGATAGGGAGGAGGTGATTGTTTCCCCTTCTTCAATTAAAATAACAGTAGAAGGCCCAGACGCTGCAACTGACTCTACCCTCAAAGGGACAGGAAGAGGTTTTAAATTGCACCTTTTATGAGGTGCAAATCTCTTTGGTTAGAAAGTGAAGGGAACTGTGATTAGCTAATCAAACGAGCTAGCGGTGCTCCTGGGGGCTTCAAATGCTTGGAGGAATTGAGTTAATCCAGAGGCGGAAGAAGAAACTGAAGATTCTTCTTGGAGAATTGGAGCCAAGCCTCTTAGGGGGAATCCTTGAGGAGTGGGGAAGAGAAAGTTTCTCTCTTTCTCTCTCTGCCTGGTCTCTCTTTCTCTCCCTTCTTCCTCCCTTTCTCCTCTCTCTCTCTCTCTCTCTCTCTCTCTCTCTCTCTCTCCTCTCTCTCTCTCTCTCTCTCTCTCTCTCTCCTTCCCCCTCTTTCTCCCTTGTCTCCCTCTTCTTTCTATCTCGGTCTCTGTCATTCTTTCTCCCTCTCCCTCCCCACCTCGCTTTTTCTCTCTCCCCCTTCCCTCTCTGTTTGTGTCTCTCTCTTCCCCCAGCTCTCTATCTCTCCCTCATACTCCCTCCCTCTGCCTCATTGTTCATATCCTCAGAGAGCCTAGACCACTAACGTACAGTGCACCCAGCTGGGGTCAGAGAGACTGGACTGGTAGCAGACAATGTCTTCAGCTGGCAGTAGAGGAACATACCACAGACAAATGGATATGCTGAAATAGTAATCCAAAGGGAAAAAGGATTTCTAGTACCAGAATGTGTGAGAAAGGCAACTTCAGGGATTGTGATCCCTTGTGCCTGAGAGAACCTCAAGGCCTTGGAAAGGCACAGACCTTTAGGGCTTAGCAGAGAGCTACCCCTAAAGGGAACTTAATGAGGACTCAACAAAGATGTAAAAGGACTTAATTAGTTACCTCTCTACCATAAACGGTCTCTACATATGTGCCTCACTGCCATGGTACCTAATTTTGAGCCTATTCCCCCTGTGGAAACTGTGTATTGTGGGAGAGTATGCCCCAGGTTTTTGGAGGTCATGTTTTATACCAATGATCTTGCTACAATTATTTGGTAAATACCATTTTAAAAAACTAACTATAGTCTCCTGGCTGATTGTTCATGGAAAGCACAATGATGAGGGCATATGAACTACAGTATTAGAAGCACAGTCCCTCAGGGTTGACCCTAGAATACTAAGAGTAGCAGCCACTCTTTGGAGACTTCAACCTGGGAGACTGAGTGTGAGCCAGGACAGTGGACAGTGGGTGGGTACCACAGGTTACTTTAAAAAAAAAAAAACAATACTGGGGCAACTAGGTGGTGCAGTGGATATAGCACCGGCCCTGAAGTTAGGAGGACCTGAGTTCAAATCTGGCCTGAGAACAAACACTTGATACTTACTAGCTGTGTGACCTTGGACAAATCACTTAACCCCAATTGCCTAAAAACAACAACGATACCACAACCTGCTTTAAATTTCAGTTTTAATTCAATTCAACAAACATTTATTTAGCACTTTCTGGCATTGTACAAGATCCTGAGGATACAAAGGCAAAAATGAGATAGTCCTTGCCCTCATGGAGCTTACAGTCTACACACACACACATATACATGTATGTGTGTGTCTATATATATATATATATATATATATATATTTAATAATAGCCCACATTTACAAAGTGAATGAATGAAAAAGCATTTATTACATACTTTACACATAGTATAAAACAAAAGTATAAAAAAACAAAAGTAAATATAGTCCCTGCCTTCATGGTATACGGGAGAGTTAGTTGCCAAGGAGGTATATTGTAGTTTGGAAAATTATAGGAATGGCAAGTGAACGAATAAGAGAATAGATTGCCTTCCTTTCCAGTAACAGTGGCAATATTGATTTGATAATCATAATAGTTAGCTTTTATATAGCACTTTAAGGTTTGCAAACACTTTAAAAATATTATTATTTCATTTCACATCATCACAACCTGGAAGGTAGGTGTTATTATTACCCTAATTTTACAGATCAAGAAACCAAGGTACAGAGAGATTAAGCGACTTGCTCAGTTACACAGAATCCAAGTCCGATGCTCTACCTACTGTGACATTTAGCTGTTTAGGGCTGGAAATTTGGGGGGGGGGTGGCAGAGGGTTTATGTTGGCAAGACAATTGGCGAGAAGATGGTGGGGAAATAAAGTGAATTAGGCTGGGACAGCTAGTCTGATAAATTGGACCACACATAATATATTCACCAGTTTATAGTATAACATGTCATTTCATCTTCATTTCATGGAAGGATTGAATCCATGTCATCCTGATGCAGTCTGCCAGATTCTATTCAATATTCCATGCTGCCTCTTGAATCTATGTAACAATATTGAACTGGTATTTCCTTATACGCCATTTTTTAAAAATCAAAATACACAGAAAAATAATGGCTCAATGGAAAGACCGATGGATTTGGAATCAGAAGACATGAGTTCAACCCTGTCTCTTCTTCTTAGTACTGTGTGACCTTAGACAAGTAATTTCATCTTGCTAGGCCTTTGGTTTCCTCATTTGCAAAGACACTGGGCTAGATGACCTCTAAGGTCTCTTCTGACACTAAACCCAAGATCATGGTCATGAGTTTCTAAATAGGTGGATTGTTTGAGTGGGATGAGTTGGACAGAGAATTCTACCACAGATATCTTATTCTGTAGGTCTTTGTTTATTTGCATAATCATGTGATTCTAGAGAGTGCCTGTGAATATTTAACAATCAGCTCTCTGAAAAAAATGCAAGCATAACATACTTTTAAGTTCAATCTGCATGAATAACATTTTCTCCATCACCTTCTTCAATCTAGACAATCAGCAAAATAATAAATCAAACCCTGATTTGTAGTTTACCAATTTCCAAGGTGTGAATGTTCACACTGAAAATTTAACAGTCAGCTCTCCCAGTGTACCCCTTCCTGAGATGTTCCTTTAGTGGAACAGTAGAACCATTGTGGAAATATCATTCAACTGACATCTTGGCCGTGGAAGAGTAAAGAGAATAAATGGGAAGGAAGATGAGATCTGGAGTCTGTCCCCAACTGTTGATAATAAGCTGCTGACCATGGACACGTGACAGCCTCTCTAAAGTCCGGTGTCCTCAGAGGTAAAGAGATGGGTTTGGACTTGATGATCTTTATGGTCTCTTCTAGGTGTGGTCAGATATTAGTCTTTGCCATCCTTTCTTTGACTTCTGTCTTCATGGTTTTTCACCGGAGTGCCCTCCTTCCATCTCATGTCTTGCTCTTAGAACCCTAATTCCCTAGGATACTCTGCAGTCCCACCTGGTGCCTGAGGCCTTTCCTCATATCCCTACTACTAAAGCTTCCCTCCCACCTCAGGCTTCATCATCTGCCATCCTTCTGCTATCCTCTGGGTGGAGGGGAGAAGGAGAAGGAGAGAGAGAGAGAGACAGAGAGAGAGAGAGAGACAGAGACAGAGAGAGACAGAGACAGAGAGAGAGAGAGAGAGAGAGAGAGAGAGAGAGAGAGAGACAGAGACAGAGAGAGACAGAGAGAGAGAGACAGAGAGACAGAGAGAGAGACAGAGATACAAAACACTGCCATTCCCTTTTGAAATTTCTGTAGGAAAGGGGCAGCTAGGTGGCGCAGTGGATAGAGCACCAGCCCTGAAGTCAGGAGGACCTGAGTTCAAATCCAGCCTCAGACCAAACACTTGACACTTACTAGCTCTGTGACCCTGGGCAAGTCACTTAACTCCAATTGCCTAAAAAAAAAATTTCTGTAGGAACAAATGACCTCAAAATCCTTGGACCGTGGTCTTTTTCATGAGTCCTTGTTCTGTAATGATACAAACAATATAAAGGAAACATGTATCATCCACAAAGCAGGAGACTGTGGCAGAAGGTATTGAAGATAGAAAAATGAATACCTTTTTGGTCATATTTTTGGTTTGACTCATGGTGGCTGATATATGGGAATGAGAGGAACAATGCTTTGGTCTTGTCTATCAGGAATAAATTATTTCTGAATGTTGTTAAAGATGACAGGTCCAGCAAAATATGAATGAATGAATGAATGAATGATGACTTCTTTGTACATATAATACCAAACTGCTCCACATGAAAGTGAAGTATCTTAAAGGGATGAGTCATTGACATATCTAATCTGCAATTTAATACAATATTAAAGGATTTAAACTAACTCATTTTCTCCAGATACTTTCATTCCACTTCAATATATTTTATTAATTAATTGATTTTTTTAGTCATTTCTGTTCTTACCCAATTAAATTTTCTCTTGTAACAAAGAAAAACAAATAAGACAAAAAACAGTCTGATTACAGTAAGTACGTTTGACAATGTAGGTAATACTCTGTCCTTGTCACACCCACCTCCCTACCTGGCAGTTTCATTATCTTTTCTCCAAGACCATCTTTGGTTTTTCAGTTGCCCTGAGTTCAGCTTTCTGTCAGTGATCTCTTCATTCATGTTGTTGTAGACGTTGGGCATATTATTCTCTTGGTTCTGCTCACTTCACTCAACATCAGTTTATACAGATCTTTCCATGATTCTCGGAATCCCTTAGAGTCATCGTTTCTCACCAAGCAATAATACTGTGCAATATTTATATGCCTTTTTAAAAAAGTCATTCCCCAATCAATAGGTAAGGCAGCTAGGTGGTGCAGAGGACAGAGCACCGGGCCTGGAGTCATGAAGACCTGAGTTCAAATCCAGCCTCAGGCATTTATTAACTGTGTGACCCTGGGCAAGCCCCTTAACCTCTGTTTGCCTCAGTTTCCTCCTCTGTAAAATGATCTGGAGAAGGAAATGGCAAACCACTCCAGTACCTTTGCCAAGAACACTCCAACAGAGGTCAACTAGACAGTGCAGTGAATAGAGCACCATGACTAGAATCAGAAAAATCTGAGTTCAGATCTGACCTCAGACACTCACCACTCATGGAAGACAAACCTAGTTAAGTATTCTGGAGGGTACTCAAGATGCCGAGGATTCTTTTTGGTTTCTTCAAAATATCTGAATAACTCACTCAAACTAGTAGGGGCTAACTCACATTCAAATAGTTCGGGTAAGAAACTTTCATTAGCTTACACCAAGGCAATTAGGTAGTGCAGTGGATAGAGCTGGGCCTTGGAGTCAGGAAGATCTGAGTGCAAATCCCATCTAAAGGAATTGCTAGGGGCAGCCACGTGGCACCATGGATAGAATACTAGCCCTAGAGTCAGTAGGGCTTGAGTTCAAATTTGACCCCTGGCACTTACTGGCTGTGTGACCCGGGGCAAATCGCTTAACTCTGATGGCCTTGCCCCCCCCCCCAAAAAAAGAAGAATTACTAGCTAGGTGACCCTGGGCAGTTTCCTATCTGTCAAATAAGAGTAATGATAGCACCTCCCTCCCAGGGTCATTGTGAGGATCAAATGAGATATATTTATAGGGCACGTACCCCAGTGCCTGGCACATAATAGGCTCTTGATAAATATTTGTTTCCTTCCTTCCTGACCTTGATTTCCTCATTTCTAACCTAGGAGGGAGAGGTGAAACAGATGATTTCAAAGGTCTCTTTGAGCTCTAAAATTCGATTATTTAAATATCGTATTTCCCTTAGATATAGGATTGAAAAGCTTTGATTAATTTTTAAGTATGACCTTAAAATGACCTTATGGTCTTAAGGCCAATAATTTCTCCAGAGGAGTGAATAAATAAGTGAATGAATGAATGAAAAAAATTTATTAAGCCCTTACTACGTGCCAGGTACTGTCATCAGAACACCAATCCAATTTTACAATTTAAGTCAATGTGATATTGGAATAAAATGTTCCTTACAGAAACCTTTTTAGACACTAAACTATTCTGCAAGTAAGGAACACCATTCCCGCTCATATACTTTATGAATTTTTATTCAGAGTTTGTGTATCAAGCAACAGAGGGGCCTTACTATCTATCTATCTATCTATCTATCTATCTATCTATCTATCTATCTATCTATCCATCTATCTCTCTATCTCTATCTATCTATCTATCTATCCATCTCTCTATCTCTATCTATCTATCTATCCATCTATCTCTCTATCTCTATCTATCTATCTATCTATCTATCTATCTATCTATCCATCTATCTCTCTATCTCTATCTATCTATCTATCCATCTATCTCTCTATCTCTATCTATCTATCTATCCATCTATCTCTATCTCTATCTATCTATCCATCTATCTCTCTATCTCTATCTATCTATCTATCTATCTGTCTGTCTGTCTGTCTGTCTGTCTAATCAGAAATGTTGAGAATGAAAGCTGGAGCTAAGTATCAGAAGAAAAAACAAACCATGAATTCGTCTTTTTTTTTTTTTAATATTTCGATAACTATATTTCACTGTAATTGGTTTCCTTGGTAATTTTATATGGACAGCTATAGGCCCAAAGTGAGAAGATTCATCTTCCTGACTCCAAATCTGGGCCTCAGACACTTCCTAGCTGTGTGACCCTGGCCAAGTCACTTCACCCTGTTTGCCTCAGTTTCCTCATCTGTAAAATGAGCTGGAGAAGGAAATGGCAAACCACTTCAGTATCTCTGCCAAGAAAATCCGAAATGTAGTCAGGAAGAGTTGGATGGGACTGAAACAACTGAAGAACAACCAAGTGTCTTCCAACTCTCGATCTTTGATCCTAGAATTCAGAATTGCATCAACTTATGTCAATCCTTAATTCCTCACTCAAATTGTAAAGTAACTCAACTTTGGAGCCTTTGAAGCCCTCCTAGTGGCTTTTCTTCAAGGCATGCCATTACTTACCTTGAGGACACTTCAAGCTAACAAGGAGAGGTGTGGACACTCCACAAAGAACTTCACTGACCCAGCCCCTGGGCCTGGGACTCCGAAGGCATGCTTCGCTTGGTGGTTCTGACTTTGACCTCTGGCTAAAATACCTGGGGCTGGCCAAGACTTTCTCCTCTGGTCCCTTGTCTTCACCCAAAAAAAGGTTGGTGAGAGAAAAAAAAAAGAAGGAAACCAGAATTCATTCCACAATAAGGTTGATTGTTACTTGCAAGCCACATTCAATTAAATGTTTACCTTTCTATTTCACAACCTAACAGGAAGTCGGCAATCTGAGAGGCCCAGGGCAGAGCCAAGATGGTTCATTCATCTTTTCCCCCTCAGGTCAAGACTGGAGCAAAAGACTAGCTGGTGTTTCTAGTTGCTCTCAGGAGTAAATAACGTCAGATAGGAAATGAGCACTTAGCTAAAATCTTTAGGTTCTGTGTTTTGAACTCCTGGAACTGTCTCAATTACGTGACAATTTCCTGAAGAATATCAGAAAAGGAATGAGGCCTTATCAGTTCTTGATTACTTGAAAAATGCTGCAGGAATTTTGAAAATGAAGGAGTTTTGGAAAAATTCAAATTTTTCTTTCTTTGTCATAAGCACTATATAAACATTAACTACTACTATTATTTTTATCACTATTATTCCTTCGTCCCTCCCTTTTTCTTTTTTTCCCACCTTCCTTTTCTATCTTTTTCCTTCATTTTTTTTCTTTTTCTTCTTAAAATTTTCCCCCCAATAATCAAACATTAATTTCTTTTTATCTCTCACACGAGGGGCGGGGCGGGGTGGGGGTGGGGGACGGGGAAGAAAGGAAAACAAAATCCTTGTAGCAGCTAAGTACAATCAAGCAAAAATAAAAAATCTTATATTGGCCGTCTCCAAAAATATGTCTTTGTCTACCTATTTGTCCATCACTTCTCCATCAGCAGGCTAGTAGCATTCTTCATCATCAGTCTTCTGGAACCATGACTGATCACTAAGATGATCAGAGTTCTTAAGTCTTCTTCCTTTCTCCTTCCCTCCCTTCCTCCCCTCCTTCCTTTCTTCCCTCTTTCCTTCCCTCCTTTCCTCCCTCTCTCTTTCCCTTCCTTCCTTTCTTCCTCTTCCTTCCTTCCCTCCCTTCTTTCTTTCCTTTCTTCCCTTCCTTCCTTTCTTTCTCCTTTCTCCTTCCTTCTCTCCTTCCCTCCCTCCCTCCCTCCCTTCCTTCCTCCCTTCCTTCCTTCTTTCCTTCCTTCCTTCCTTCCATCCTTTTTCTTTTTATTTACGGGCTCCTGAATCAAATTCCACCTCTGATTTAATATCTGCTTGACTAACCCTCCTACCCCCTCAGTTTTCTTTTTCTTTCTTTCTTTCTTTCTTTCTTTCTTTCTTTCTTTCTTTCTTTCTTTCTTTCTTTCTTTCTTTCTTTCTTTCTTTCTTTTTGTAAAATGAGAGGTTTAAACTACATGGCTAATGAGTCCCATCTGCCTCTTGTTTTATAATCTATATTAATCATAGTTTGATGGATTGAGAGTAAGAAGGTACCTTAAACGTCAAAGGAGCATAAGCTCATGGCTATAGGGATGAAAGGGGACCTAGAGTTCATTTTAGACCCTTCCCTTCATTTTGCAGATGAGGAACCAGGGACCAAGAGAAGCCTGGTGACTTGCCTAAGGTCACACATATTAAAAGGCAGAGCTGGGATTCAAACCCAAGTCCTCTGTACTGTTCTTTCTTATTGTCCCATGCCTCATGTTTTATTCAAAGCTTAAAACTGAACATCGATGTAACCAACTAAATTTGCTTAATAGCTATTTACATTGGAATCAGTTCATTTCTATGCTTGAAGTATCCTAACAATTTGTCTAGCATTCCTTCTAGGTCACCATAGGATCTTAGCTCTAGAGCTGGAAGGGTCCTCAGAGACCATCTAGTTGAACCCCTTCATTATACAGATGAGGAAACTGAGGCCTAGAGAGATTAAATGGTTCTTGGATTCTCTGATCCTCCTCCTTCAATTTTCCTCATATGGTTGTAGTTCAAATATGGCCTCAGACCCCTATTAGCTGTGTGACCCTGGACAAGTCACTTAACTTCTGTCTGCCTTTTTTTCCCCATCTGTAAAATGGGACATAATAACAGCATCTCCCCCTAGATCGGTTGTAAGGATCCAATGAGATAATATTTGTAAAGAGTTTTGCAAACCTTTAAATGCTATATAAATGTTCGTTATTATTGTTGGTGGTGTTCTAATTAGTGTGTACGCCATTTTTCTGGGTCTATTTTTTTTTCACTTAGCTACACAATTTGATTATTGTTCACCTCCTTCTCATACTCTCTCCTTTTAGGTTGCCATGACACTGCCTTTTCCTAGCTTTTCTCCCCTCTCTTTGACCCCCTCCTTCTCAACCTAGGTCATATCCTTTAATGAGAGATGTCCCCAAGGCTCTTTCCTGGGCCCTCTTCTCTTTTCTCCCTATACTATCTCTCTTAGTCATCTCATCATCTCTCATAGATTCTATTATCATCTCTACGAAGATGATTCCCAGAACTACATAGCCAGCACTAGTCTCTCTTCTGAGCTTCAGCACTGAATCAGCATCATCAATTGCCTTTTGGACATTTTGAACTAAATGTCCTAGAGGCACCTTATACTCAACACGTACAAAACAGAATTCATTCTCCTTCCCTTAAAACCCTTTCCTCTCCCCAGTTTTCCTATGACTGTCCAGGGCAACACCATTCTTCTTGTCATCCTGGTTGCAATCAAGGTGTCATCCTTGACTCTTCTCTTGTACTCAACCTACATATCCAATTCTTGTCAAATTTTATCATTTCTACCTTCACAATGTCTGTCATATATGTTGCCTTCTCTCCAATCACACAATTGCCACCCTGGTGCAGGCCCCCATCATCTCATGCCTGGACTATTGCAAGAGCTTTTGAATTGGTCTTCCTGACTCAGGTCTCCCGGGGCAAAGAGGATACTAGAAGCTGGGGAAGAGAGGGATCATGAAAAGCCACATGTAGAAAGTGGCTGACATTTTCACTGGCCATCTCCCACGCCTGGAATGCTCTCCTTCCTCTTGTCCACCTCTTGGCTTCCCTGACTCCCTTCAAGCCCCAGCTAAAATCCTACCTCCTACAGGAAGCCTTTCCCAATCCCTCTTAATAGTAGTGCCTTCCCTCTGTTTAGTACTCATTTATCCTGCATACTGTTTACATGTCTAGAAATGATCTGAAGCTAGGTGGCTCAGTGGATAGAGTTCTGGGCCTGGAGTCAGGAAGACCCTGAGTTTAAATACAGACTCAGATATTTACTAGTTGTGTTACCTTGAGCATGTCACTTAACCTTGTTTGCCTTATCTGTAAAATAAGCTGGAGAAGGAAATGGCAAACTACTCTAGTATCTTTGCCGAGGAAGGCCCATGGACAGTAAAATTCATGGGGTCACAAAGAATTGCACATGACTGAAACAGTCGTCTGCATGTTGTTCTCCCCGCCTCACCCTCCCAATTAGACTGTGACCTCCTTGAAGGCATACACTGATTTTGCCTTTCTTTGTATCTCTAATGTTTCTCACAGTGCTCGGCACATAGTAGGCACTTAATTAATGCTTATTAACTGACAGACTGGTTAAGAACAGAAGTGATCCTAAAAAGCTTTGCTACACCTTGTGAAAAAAAGTGAAGAAAAAATAGTTGTCTCTTATCTGATCAGAATGGTTTAAGTTCCACACCTAACAAATTCTAGGCAGATAAATAATCACTGGCTGTGAAGGACTGGGAATGTGGAGGGAGGAAATTACACTGCTTTCCCCACCCCTCCATTTCACAGTCACTGCTCAGAAACAGATCATTATCCTGCCTTTCTAAAAATTTATCAAGCATTTAGCTTTAGGTAGAAAAAAGGCAAAGTTATTGGGGGAGCACACTGGGCTCTGGAATGGGTGACAGCCGGGAAAATGAAGGCATGAGAGCTCTCTCCTTTTGGCGAAGTTAAAATCTAATAAAGAGAGAAAACAATCCAATTTCTTTTCAAGGCAACCTTCCAATATAGACATTTAGTAGATTGTGGCTGATTTACCCAAATTTAAGCAGAGCCCACTAATGATGAATCAGTGACTTGAAAATTTGGAAAGGGCTGCCTGATCAAGCAATCCACAAGAATCGGGTTGGTTTTTTGGTTTGTTTGTTTAAAATCTGAGAGAGAAGGGCAAGGTGACGCAATGACAAGCGCCCTGGCCTCGCAGTCAAGGGGGACTTAGGTTTGAATCAAGTCTCCTGCACTTATGAGCTGTATTGATCTTTGGAAAATCACTGAGCTTCAGTTTCCTCAGCTGTAAAATAAACACCATGATAGCATCTACTCCAGCAGGCAGTTGTGAGAGTCAGATGAGGTGTTTGCCTTGTAAATCTCAAAGCACATATAAATTCTGGCCATTTTTATTGTTAGCTTTGTTGTTGACTCATTTTGGTCATGCCCAACTGTCCGTGACCCCAGTTGAGGTTTTCTTGGCTAAGATATGGGAGTGGTTTGCCATTTCCTTCTCTAGCTCATTTTACAGATGAGGAACTGAGGCAAATGGGATTAAATGACTTCCCCACGGGAGTGTCTGAAGCTGGACTTGAACTCACAGGAGATGAATCTTTCTGATTCCAGGCTCTATACCTTTATCCACTGCGACACCTGGCTGCCAACTTTATTATTAGCAGCCTTGGGCAAATCATTTGATTCAATCCAATCAAGCCCAGTGTCTACTATCTACATAATAGTTAGCTCTAGAGTAGTAGACATCAAGATACAAAAAAAGTTCCTGCCTTGAAGGGGCTTACAATCTACTGGGAGATACACAATTACACAAGTAAGTAAATTATTTACAAAGTCAAATCAATAAGTACTGGCATTCTGTTAAGCATTGGAAAAATACAGAAAATACAGAGTAATTTTAAGAGGGAAAGGAGCGGAATACCTGGAACTGAATCAGTAAAGGCCTTATTTCAAATAATATTTTTTCAATGTTAACCACTCATTTCTTTTTCAGTCTACAAAGAAGAATTTTCCAGTTGCTTACCCAGTATGCACCCAGGCTACACTGGAGATTCTCAAGGCCCCTTGGTTATATCTGCTTTCAGGCTTAAAATCCCTGGGTGTGGAGAAGAAAAGAAAGTAAACTCTTGAGAATCGTTGTCATGGTTGACAAAATAAATAAAGCTGTTTTGGGCATATATATTCTTTAAACAACTGTCATCTTTTGTTACTCTTCTCAATCAGTGACTTTGACCAGGGCATTTAGAATTTATGAAAACAGGCAAGATCCTCATAGGAGAACCTTATGGTTATAGGAAATCTTCAT